AAAAGCATATATTAAAACAGTTTGCATTTCGCAGCAGGTCTGATGAAGCAGAGTGAGATATGGGGTGAGTGTGAGCTGCAGAGGCTTTTCAGGGACACGACAAAAAGAGGTAGATCAATAAGTAAGGGGGGGAGAGAGACACAGAGTAAAAGAGAGACGATCCCTATACCTCCATCTTCTCTTGTGTTTTGTTACTAAGAGGAAATCTTGCAGCATTCATATCGCTCCTATTATCCTCAAAATTACTAACATCTTTTATCCTTGGGGTCAATTTGACCCCAGCAATTTAAACCTCCAGAATATGATTTTTACCCAAGTTTGTGTGTCAAGTACTTTATGTTTATTTGTTGACTACCTAAATAGCCCTTTAAATAAAATATAGACCCTCCAAGACCATTTCCTGTCTTCTCTGGTGCTCAGGACAGCATTTTGTTCATGGTGCTCATCAGCAGGACATTTTTCCCTTTCTTGGGGCAATAGGGGATGACAGTGGCTCTGTCAGTGAAGGCAAAACATTGAAGATGTTATCTTCTTGTTCTTCATTGCAAGAAGCTCAGAGGGAAGCTCCAGCTTGTTTTTTTCTCATTGTTCCCTACATGGTAACCTTCCTTTTCAGCAGTTTTTCACCCAGCATATACAATGTGAAAAAAATATCACATGTAATGTTATGACCCTTCAGTCCTTCAGCCATGTCTAATACCACCCTCAGCGTATCTGGTTGGGCTGGGACCATTTTGATGACATTAGCAGCCCTAAGTCTACCCTGCAGTTCAAGTGGGGAGAGGGACCACAATAACTTTGCATTTTTGGAAGGTAATGTGTCTGCTGGTGGTTGAGAGGGAACAGGAGGGTCAACACTAAGAGTATCATTCTCATCAGAGGAGGATGCCTCATAATCAGGGTCCTCCTCAACATTATCCTCTGTCTCAGACACATTCTCCTCTATGTCCCTTTCACTGTCAGAGAACTGTGACAAAATGTCATTGACAGAAAACCTTTGCTAAAAGGTCATTTTCAATTCATTTTCAATCTTTTTTTTTTTTCATAAAAAGAGAGCCCACAGAGCACCAAGAGAAATTTTAGAGAAGGCTGCTGTGTAAGCTTTTATATGTTTGCTCCTCCCCTATGTTGGGTGAACCATCAGTGTCCTCATGAGAACTGTGTTTACCCCTTCCCACTGTCATGTGAACTATGAGTGGTTCTCACAATACTACAGGTATGGTTATGTTAGATTAGGGCCCTAAAGCAGAAGGAAGTTTTTTTGAAGATTATAAAATTGTATGTTATAGTGACCCTCAATATCATCTAAAACAAATGTGTGTAAAATTTTGATATTTCTTATATGTTTTATACAGCTAAAAGATCTTTTCACTGATGCTACAAAATGTGTACAGGACACTGAAAACATATCATCATGTTAATTTTATGTTTTCCCCGTTGTCCCCATTAAACTAGGAAAAGTCATTAAATAAGAAGCAAAAAAAATGACGTCAACCATGTATTTAGAGAAGTTAAACATTGAATGGGGTCAAATTGACCCCAAAGATAATAGGAGGGTTAAATTAATGCAACTACTGTAACACTGTAACCCTTAAATAAATGTATAAATACAGGCACATTCCAGGAAATATACACAAGCTCCAGCACAACTGTGACCCAGTGGCCTAATGGATAAGGTATCAGCCTCCGGAGCTGGGGATTGTGGGTTCAAGTCCCACCTGGGTTGTTGCTTTGTTGTGGTGCTTTAGCTAAACATATGTTCAAGAGCTTCCTATAAGGAAAAGCTCAAGAAAAACTGCTTCAAGAATGTGAAACTGGGTCACATCAGCAGAAATCCAATGATCTTTGAACTGAGAATGTGGGTTTGGTGACTGTTATAATCATTAATTCAAAATCTCAAACATGCAGCATTTCTCAGGCTTTAATTGTGCCTCCATGTTTCCCTTCCTCACTTCTTATCTCCTCCCTCTGAGGAAGAGGAAAGAAAATGAGGACAAGAAGAATCAAACAACATTTTCTACCAAAGGAGACATTGTTACTCACTGAAGCATCACTTTAAAGCGGCTTTAGTGAATAAACGTATTGATGATGTATTTCCCTGCTGTAATAACTGGATTACACACTGGTGTATTCTTGATCCCAAAGCCTCCTGATTTTACTGCACATTTTAAGAATTGGTACTTACTTAAACACAGTAGGCTTGATTGATTTCCAGGTCATGGGCTGAAAGATGCAGTATCGAGAAATCAAGTATCAATCAGTTTTGGGATGCAGGTCTGGTCCTGGAGAACCGCCACCCTGCATACTTCTGTGTTTTTCCTGCTCACAACTCACCTGAATCAACGTAGATTATTAACAAGCCTGAACAAGGTTGAACGAGGTTAGAGGAAAGAAAAAACCAAAATGTGCTAAATGCAGGATCTCTGGTGTCATAGCTGTGAAAGCTTTGGCTTAATAGATAAGACATTGGTGTATGGAATTAAAGGGTGTAGGTTTGAGTCTCACCTGCGTTACTATGGTATAGTTTCTTAATTTTTTATAACGTAACAGTGCAGCAATGCAGTGTGGTCAAGTTAAAAGGAAGTCCTAATAGACACTAACTGTGGATTGGGCTAAAAGAATGAGCATCTATGTGGCCTAGTGGCCCAGTGGCCTAATGGATAAGGCATCAGCCTCCGGAGCTGGGGATTGTGGGTTCAAGTCCCACCTGGGTCGCTTGATCGTAATGTCTTGCCTCTGGCTTGTCTAAGTCTGTATTCCCAGTACTTCTGTGCTATTAGAATCAACTGTGTGTAAAGCAGAAGCTTTATTTAGGCTTAGAAAACATGAGCTGCTACTGTCACATTGTGCACTGTACATAAAGCACAGCGGGGTAGAGAGAGTAGAGGAATGTAATTAACACATAACATATGAGCACAGTGTCCCAGGCTGACCAAAACACAACACAAATAACGATCATTTACTCAAATGATCTACACAACTGTTGCAGAGAACCAAGAGTGCCGATTGGATTGGAGATGATTTGACATATTTTTCTATAGCTAAAAGGACAAATGGACCAAAAATGCGGGCACATTACTTAATCTTGTCACCACACTAATCTCAAGTGCATGTGCTTTTCACAAATATGAAAAAGTGCTTGGACCCCTAAAAACTCTCCGAGCTTGCTTATCACACCTATTCCCATCACGACTAGCTCAGAAACTTCAATCCAGTTATTCTAATCAAGTTCACGTGTGGTCAAAAAAGCAAATTAACCTTTTCCGAATGATCCGTCACACATCATCTTACCTTATTAAAACATCTGATGGACTGTAATGAGCCAGAGAGCTACACAATCCAAGCGGGTGAGTCTTTGCATTGCAGTAATTCTGCATCTTCATACCTTTGAGCTCAACATCACATTAAGATTATGAGTGTTGTTTATTGCATCCATCTGCACACATATCCAGAGTCACACATACTGTACAGTATTGTGCTTCCACATTTCCCACTTCTGCAGTGGCAGACCCTTCCTGTGTCTTTGTGTTCAGCAACTGCAGGAACTGGAATCTAATTAGTGCCAATGTCTGAGAGAGAAAGAAGCCAGGCTTTACCACCGTCATCGCTGTGATCTCTCTCTGGAGGCCCATTTAATGGAACCCATGTTCTTCTGACTTGTAGAAGAGCAGATAAAGCTCCAGACCTGCCAGAACACTGATACAAATGAGATCTTTCACCAAGAGACACTAGAGGAACCTTCTGGAGGTCGATTCAATGTAACTCAGTTCAACTATTTGCTTCCAGAGCTGGGAGGCTTTGCTGTTTCTGTCTCTTGCTAAAGAACATTTCAAAAATCTAAGCAAAGGCATTTGGATGACAAAAACATTATTATAGACGAGTACAGTAAAAATGGGCCACATGAAATTTAGTATGTGTGTTGGACCAGGTTGAGAACAGCAGCAAACAACATGCAGAGATAAAATAAAACATTAGATGAAACATCAGTGCAGCAATACAGTGTGATCACGTTACAAGGAAATCCTAACAGACACTGAAAGAAAAGCTTGTGTGTGGCCTAGTGGCCCAATGGATAAGATGTCTGGAGCTGGGGATTGTGGGATTGAATCCCTCCTGTGGTGCTGGTTATCACAGAGCTATCCCATCTGAAAGTAAAAACAGTCTTTGGGAAAAAAGAATGCAAAAGCAGCTAGCTATCCTTTAGTTGAATTGGCTCAAAGAATATGTATTGTTAATCCGTTAATCCTACTCTGAAACAGCTATATTAGAGCATAAAACACAACATATCCTTATTCACAAATAGTGGAACACTTGACAACATGCCCTCTATTCATTACTAATCCAGTAACAGTAACTTATCTGTCACATTATCATAGATGTATACCTTCCATTACAGACAAAATTGCATTCACTGTTTTGCAATACCTCACATAAGAGAAGTATTTGGGTAAAAGAATGGAAAAACTGGAGAAAATAACAGAAAACTAACCAAAAACTAAAATTAACCAACGCTTTATTCAGCCATTATTCCAAACACTTGAGTAAATGTTCTAAACAGATTCCAGTTCATTACTTGTTCCAGTAATAGATCTGCTTTATTAACACCATGTATAAAGTATGAAACAAAGTAATAAGAAGAATAAGAAAACATGCTGATTTGGTTCATGTTTGTATTGAGTGTCTCAGGGGAGTGATGAATAGATAGTATTTTTAGCTCTAGGTCTGAACATGAATATGACCCAGTTAAAAAAACTAACTGAGGCATACAATATCAAGTCTAATGACCTTGAAACAATGGAACAATGAACAACATGGCAGAGTTATGACGGGCCATATACACTCAGCCATAAGACAGAAGACTTAGCAGCAGCAGTCTTACTCTTCAATGAGTGATATATAAAAACATGGTATCTTAGAAATGCATTGGGCCATCATAAGGTTCACAGTGTTTTTGGATGAGCAGCACTTAAAGAACCACCAGTGTGGCTTATTAAGTATGTGGTTCTGTGACCTAATGGATAAGGCATCAGCTTCCAGAGTTAGGGATTATGGGTTTAAGTCCCATTTGGGTTGCTATTTTGTTACTCATTGAAGAGATTTCTCTGCTCTAGAGGATACTACATTATAAGGATGGACTAAAGAAGGTAAAAATCTTAAAGAGGTGAACCCTGACATACAAGACCTCTCATTAAATGTGTATAGAGACATTATCAAGCTTGGAAGTAGCAGAGATCATTATGAGGAGGTGTAATATCAAGTCTCGACATCAACAGAACACTGAAGGAAAATAGCTTATTTAGATCGCATGATACACATTACGAAGCAGTCGAACCTCAAGTCTACTGTCTTCAGATCATCATAGAACTACCTACTGTATATTCTTTATAATTAAAGCTTAGATATTCCGGAGTTCGATTTCATCCCATTTACGTTTATTATCATTATTCATGTCCTGTACATGTGGTTAAATACATATACACTATAATCCCAAGATACAAGCATACTCTCTTAAGCATAACAACTTAACTAGTGCTAAAATCCCATTATACAACACATCATTTCAGCAATTCAGCACTTACTGAAACAGCAGAAAGTGTGAAACATAAAGAAGTGCCAGAGAAAACTGCTGTATGCACAAATAAATAAACACCATCTGCATAGAGGCAGCCCTGGCTAACATCTGGATAATTCACGTTATCTGAATGCACAGAGATGCAGAGTTCCTACAAAAGACCTACAAATCAGTAGTTAAGTAAAAAATAAAACAAAACATGCTGTTACATTTAATGTTGAAGAACGTCGGCAAAGCGAGTTATACTCACAATCGCAGCTATAAACATTCGTTCACTCACCAGCCTCACTTTTTATCACTCTGTTGAAGTTAATAAAACAAAAAAATGCAGCTTGTCTTGTTACCAAATTTTACCTCTGACTGTTACAAAGCGCTGACACTGGAGACTCCTTCCACACACAAATGTCAAATAAACATCTCCTTACAGATATCAATGATAATATATGTTTCTTAATCGGTTTATGCGGAACTGTTACTATAGACATGATAATATATTAGAAAATTACTCAATATCTCCTGACCAATCAGAATCCAGAATTCAGCAGTGTTTTGGGATAAAAGCAGTTCACAATCAAACTCTGTTGAAAGTGAGATAACGATGATAGAGTAGAATCTCAAACAGATCATTTTCTCACTGATTAGTTCAGTGCGATGTTGCTTTCACGTGCTGCGTCAGTGAGTGAGGATGCCTCGTATACGCTCGATTTCTCTGTCCTTGTTTCCTTTCCATGCATTTGTTTCTCGTGTCCTCAAAACACAAATAGGCATAGCGAGGAAAGTAAAGGAGGACATGCAATGAAAGAAATGAGAGGAGAAACAGATCAGATCTGCTTTACTGACACCACTGAATAAAGTGTGCTGATTGAAGCTCTGGTTTTTTTATTTATTTATTTTTTATTTATTCAGGCGTCTCAGTGGAGCGATACATAAACGGTATTTTAAGCTATGGGTCTGAACGTGACCTCTGTATCCCAGTGGCCCAGAATGCATCAGAGATTCAAATGAGAACATCTGCTGGAATAGTTCGAAATATAACCAAGAGGGAAAAGTTAATCCCTCAATACCTCCAGAGAAAGGGACGGAAGAAAGAGGCAGGAAGATTAAAGCTGGGAGGTCATTTGTTCACACACATACACACCTATGTTGCGCTGTTATGTATGATCAATTGTGTAGGTTTTTTCTTTTCGCTTCTTTGTAGTAGTATTTCCCTTTAAACAGCAGTGTAATAACCTGATAACTGAAGGAAGTCTCTTACACTAAGGCATGACTAAGTGTTACACACTGTTATACACACATACTCGCCTGCATACCTTTTTGTACATCTGTGTAATTAAAAGCGATATGCACTAGATGGCACGTCGGAGCCGAAACATCCCTGTCTGACTGGTTTCCATGGTGACCTGAAAAACGTTTATTAATTTCATGCCAACTGTTCTGAGACACAGATTTGTCTCTGCGCAGCAACATGGAAATGTTAAACACACAGACAAGCTCTGCTTCTTTCTCTTTAAAACATTGATGTCATGAGCTGCGTCTCAAATCGAGAAAGTATTTACTAATCTAGAAGTTCCAGAAGATCGTGACGTAAAAAAAAAAAAACAGGCGTTTCAGTAGTAATTCTGGAAAACTGGTTAGCTGATAGTAAAATGTTTAGAATAGTATAGAAGTATGCAATTTCAGACACAGCGCTTGTTTGTTCAGTCTGTTGCGGACATCTTGTCACATCATGCTACACTGCTCTCACTTCTGCATTCTTTGAGAGGAAGAATGTGAGGAAGAAGATAGTAGAAGGAGATTTTGTAGATTCTGCAGGCTTTGCAGTTTCACGAGACTCAGTAGCCTTGTGGGGTTGAATCCCACCTAAGCCTTTAGTACAGTGTTTCCCTTCAAAAAGCAACATGTAAGACCTGGTTACACATGACTTGTGATGACAAAAAAATGAACTAAATTGGATTATTGACATGCGACAACATGTAATAAGGATGAGTGCATTGTGGAGAACGTGTCAGTTCACAGCTTCTGACAGAAGCTTCACATCACTTATGCAGCTAACTACCCTTGAGCTCAAAATGAAAAGAGATAGTTTCTCATCTGAAGCTCACACACACATTGTGCTTCCACATTTCCCACTTCTGCAGTGGCAGACCCTTCCTGTGTCTTTGTGTTCAGCGACTGCAGGAACTGGAATCTAATTAGTGCCAATGTCTGAGAGAGAAAGAAGCCAGGCTTCACCACCGTCATCGCTGTGATCTCTCTCTGGAGGCCCATTCAAGGGAACCCATGTTCTCCTGACCTGCAGAGCAGCAGAAAAAGCTCCAGACCTGCCAGAACACTGATACTAATGAGATCCTTCACCTAGAGACACTAGCTGAAACACACAATGGCGCCACAATCTCTAAGGTAATGTTTAACGTGTTAGACATGTCATGGTGTCTTTAGACTCTGTCTAAAGAAGTTTTGTCCATCTGTGATGTTGATTGCAACTCTGATCTGATCTGTTATTTGTTTTTACTGGGAGTCTCAGGAGAATTAAGATTTCTTTCCAGTGGCCCAGAATGCATAAAGGAGAAGAGAACAGATCTGGAAAAGTTTAAAACATGATGGAGAAAGAAACGTTCATCTCTCAATACGTTCACGGGGAGAGAGATGTGAACAGGCCATAAGCACACTGAAGGACTGATTGTGTAGTCTGAAATCTACAGTCTGATACTCCTGGCTTCTCCTGGCAATAATGTAGCTTTAAACTAGGACAGTGAACTGGGAGCTTTTGTTGTAGTGTTTTGCTTTAAAAAGCATCACATACTCTGGGGACTTTACAGTAACCAGATAACTGAAAAATTCTCCCATAACTAAGTGTTATAGATGATGTGGGACACTACGCCAAGGCCATTGATCACGTACGCTTAAAATGACGTGTGAAATGTTTCTCAGTTTCATTCTGGGTTACACAGTGTTGGGTGGAACACGTGACTAAGTAACATGTTATTGTAATTAAATTACTTTTCCCCTGAAAAAAGTCAAGTTAGGGATTACTCTTCATTTTTAAGTAATTTAATTAGTTACTTATGATGTACTTGCATTACATACTGTATAGACGTTCAACAATTCTGTATAAAACAATATTGAATTTAAAATCTAAATTTATCATCTAAAGATAAAATTTGTTTTCTAATTTAAATCAGCCCTTTTAAATTTGTTAGCTGTAGGCTAGTGCGTGTGCACGCGTGTTCGTGCCAGGTGGCCATGAAGTCGCTCAAGTTCCAGGATGTCAGCAGAAACGAGTGACTGTTTTGCTAAATGGAAATATTCCCATCTATTCTCATCTGCTCTATCCTCCAACATACAATCACCAGCAACATGGAGGCACGTCTTGCCAAGCAGCATTTGGTTTGAGGAATCCACAGGAAGCCAATTTGTACAAAATATTGGCAGGTGGGGTTCATGGCTGGAACTTTTTTCCTTTTTCAAAAGAGAGAAAACAGATCACCTCCAGAAATGTAAAAGTCCTTCAGCTCTTGCTTGTGATGCATTCAGCTGAGATACTTGATTCCCCAAGACCACATTTCAATACGGGCAACTCCTGTCTTCCATTAATAAAAATACAATGTGGAGGATAAAGGTGCATTATAAAGGCCAAATAAAGGATATTATGAAATAATTTTACATCAAGTGCAGTCTTCATATTCACATGCAATGGCAAAAACAGACTTCTGTTATAGAGCTGTATATGGTTACATCTTTAGTTGTCACTAAATGAAATTGACAAGATTTTCTAGACATCGGGTGAGTTAAACATGTGTCTTTCCCGGTATTTTCAGTACATGTGTGAATCATCCAGAATGGTTTGAACAATTTCTGATCACCTTAAAGGGCTAGAATGAATGGAGACGCATCATTGAGATTATAACACAGGTCCAGCTGATGTAGTGTCTGGGGATTGTGGGTTCAAGTACCACCTTGGTTGTAGTGTGATCAAACTTACTCTGGGTCTCTATACAACTGAATGAAGTCTCTCACACCAAGTAAACACATAAATCAAAATCTTCAGGGTATATACTTGTTATTTGCATGGAAACATATGGCAATAATGTCATAGTGTGAAAACACTAAGAAGCAGAGCATATGATGTACTGTTTATAATGTGGTCCAGCTTTAGCAGCAATTTGTTTACATCAATTCACACCTACACACCAACGTTTCACTGCTCATGAGCCTTTCCCTGTGTTACTGAAGTCTGTTGAAGTTTACTGAAGATTATTGAAGGCATGGTTGTGAATCGCTCACTGTGGTTTAAATGTGTGAACTAGAACGAACAGAAAAACATCATCAAGTTATTTTTTATTACTAAACAATTGAAAAAGATTTCCTCAGTCTGTTTCTGAAAGTCTGTCAGGAGCATGAGCTTGTGAGTCTCTGAAGCTGGAGATTGTGGGTTTGAGTCACAAATGTCAGCTGTAGGTCTACAGATATCATATAAAGGCTTTCCTAATGAGTTGAATGC